CCAAGTTGTCGCTGTTTCGGTGTAAACTTCAAATAATTATAACTCATTCCTTTTTGATCGAAACTGACTCAACATTTCCGGAGATACTCATCCCTCTTCGTCTAATACAAATCAAGACGGGAAAACTCGCTCCGCTCCACTAAGCGACTGACGGATTTCTAGAGACTTTCCGCAACCAAGGATCTAAAAACTGGTTTTGTAGGCCTATTACTCGTTCTGCTATTTTTCTCGGTCAAAAACTACATATTTGCTGAAATGTTGAGCCAGTTTCGATCAAAAAGGAATGAGTTATAACTATTTGAAGTTTACACGGAAACAGGGACAACTCGGTTTTCGAGAAAAACCTCTCAGATAAACTCCCTTCAATCTGGAGACAAAAATAAACATTGCCACGATGATCAGCATAGTTGATTACCTATGTTTCAAGTATTTGTTAGATTTCCAGACTTGTCAGCTTGGGGATAGAAAGGTCCTCGGAGAATGCATGTAGCTCCCATACCATCAGAGATGGAAGGTTTAGACTTGTGCCATTGGAAAATGAATCAGAAAATGAATTCTCTATCGAATGATGTATAAGAAAATCAAAAATAAAATAGTACTCCACCTTTGAATTACGCGCACCGTACCTTTTATCTAAAACCGAGAATGTTTAAAAAAATCAGTTTTATCATCTATTTTCTACAAATAATGTCCTTAATGGTGTTAGAGAATAGATAATCTTATTACTTATCTAAGCATATATAATTTTTGATTTGAAACTACGATCGTTTCTCCATAAATATTTGACCATATACTGACATGAGATGAAAAAAGTTTATCAACTCAGTAGGAAGTACAACGAAATACTTAGTGCACTGAAGTCATTTTCAGTAAATCAGAACAATATGCATCACATATACAAAAATTGTTTGTTTACATATTTCTTGAATAAATTCTGTTATATATAAGTCATCTGGTAAATTATCATTATCATCCTTAATCGATAAATTATAATTAATTTCAAAAAAAGTTTGAACATATTTTTGAATAATATTCCAAAATTCATTAAGATCACGATGAATAGGATAAATTTTATCCCATTCATCTTTTGTTTTATTATTATTATCTGCATCCATCGATTTATCAATAAAATTAGGTAATAAACGAAATTTATAATTCATTGATATATAATCACATACTTTTAAAAATTCCTCATAATCAGATGCCCATATTCTGTGTACGAGACCACGATTATTAACTAATGAGAGTGCTGCCTGATAATTAACGGATACTGTATGATATGTAAATGGTTTAATAAATATTCTTAATGGATGATCAAATGGTAAATGTTTACGTG